ATCGTCCCATCGCTTTGACTAGTTGTCTTTGTAAGGTCCTAGAGAGGATGGTTAATGCTCATCTTGTTTGGAATCGAACATGTTCCTCTCGCCCACCCAGTTTGGGTTCCATCGACAGTGCTCCACCATGGACCATCTGATTCGACTTGAAATGTTGATCAGGGAAGCCTTTCTCAAGAGAGAACACCTTGTTTCTGTGTTCTTCGATCTCGAGAAGGCTTATGACACTACGTGGAGGCATGGAATTTTACAGGACCTCCACGTTGCGTGGCCATTTACCCATTTTTATTCAAAACTTTTTACTGAACAGGCGATTCCAAGTCCGTGTGGGTTCAACTCTTTCCCGTTCCTTTCCACAGGAACTTGGAGTTCCTCAAGGCTGTGTCTTGAGTGTCACACTTTTTAGTGTTAAAATTAATGCCATCACTAATAATCTTCCTCCGACTGTTGCAAATGGGCTCTATGTCAACGACTTCCACATCTCGTGTCAGTCATCGAACATGAGGTTTATTGAGTGGCAGCTTCAGACTGCCCTCAATTGGTTGTTGACATGGACCACTGCAAAAGGTTTTAAATTTTCTTTGTCCAAAACCATTTGCATGCATTTTTGCCGCCAACGGGGTCTCCACCCCGATCCCAAGCTCCGTCTCAACGATATAGTTATTCGTGTGGTCCCTGAGGTAAAGTTCTTGGGGTTTATCTTTCACCGTAAGCTTAGCTTCATTCCACACATCAAGCAGCTACGTGTCAAGTGTGCAAGGGCTCTGAACATCCTCTGTGTCCTCTCTTCCAGCTCTTGGGGAGTGGATCAATGTTCTATGCTCAGGATCTATCATACCCTGATTCGATCCATACTGGACTATGGGTCTATGGTTCTGCCAGGACCTCGGCCCTGAAGATGCTGAACCCCATTCACCATCTAGGGCTTCAGCTCTGCACCGGTGCTTTTCGAACTTCGCCAGTCCAGAGTTTGTACACTGAGTCCCATGAACCTTCTCTTCACCTCCATCATTTGCAACCTTCTTTACAATATGCTACTAAGCTTCAATCCTCACAACAGTATCTCACCTGGGATGGTGTCTTTCTTCCTCAGTGGGCAATGCTCTTTCAGAACAGACGGTCTGCTAGTCCTCCGTTTGGCTTTTGTATCCAGGCACTACTGGCTGAATTGGGTCTTGCAACCTTGTTGCATTGCGCCATAAAGCACCAAACAACCTAACCTTGGTTAAGATCAAATCTTAACTTTAAAATTCATGTCCCTTTAGTTTTTGTAAAATGATTTACATTTCAAAAGAGAAGTGATTATACTTCCATAAACAAAAGCACTTCTGACTTTCTTGATGAAGAAGTAGATATAATCAAGAAGTTCTTGGACAGAAATATTTTCTGTATCATATGATAAATAAAATTGTATATGAAAAGCAGAACTAAACTGAATATAAAATACCATTTTTCATAATATGAATCTTGAATTTTTGTCTTATACTGGAAAATGTACTATATATACAAGTAAAGCTCATTCACATATTCAGATAAGATGTTGTTTAAAGTGTTCTCCTTTCAATGTGCAAGTTTTTTGTAGTGAATTGTATCAAAATATGGTCTGTATAAAATAATGTTGCAAGTAATTGTTGTTAACTTGTAGTATACAACAGATACAATTCAGAAAACTAATATGAAGTAAGTGGTATTGATTCTGTACCTATATAATTAATAATCAACACAGTAGGAATAGTGTTTTTAGAATACCATATACTTATGATTATGAACTTTTGGGATAACCATGGTCATTTTTTATTTTGTGACAACTCTGCTTTTTTCTGCAGTTGCAAAAACACTAATTAGCTCATGCTCATTATATTTTATGATTTGAAAACTGTAATAATGTGTTTCTTGAGTTCAAACATATCACCTTAAAATTCCTATCATGGCTATGTTATTTGAACACTTTTTCATCCTTAATTTATGTCCTTCTCACACTCAAAATAACCAAATTACATGAAACTTAGCACAGAGTTAATAAATAGTATCTAGTTTTTTGGCTTTAAAAAATCATATAATTTGATTTAGTTTTTTTTCTTTGTTTATCTTTTTATATTTTGAAGATTTTATTGATACATTTTTTTTGAAGAACATCTAAAGTATTTCTTTTCCTCTTAGAATTTCAATTTATTTTATTTTGATCATGAAGTTGCTTTTTATATACATAATCAGTTTCAACATGATTGATTTTCATTAACATATTTCTTTTTAAAACTTTATTTTGCCATTTGCAGTGGTCACTACTTTCAGCCATAAATCATAAAAACTGCATAAACTGACAAAGATTTATGGGTGATCTAAGACATCACTTTTCAACAGTATTATTGCTAACAGTATTCTTGGTTAAAATAAATTTATTTCTAATAATATATATTGTTTTCAGGAAATTATAAGTTATTTTAGTTATGTATGGTGTTTGAGTATAATAAACTTAACTATAATATTCAATAAATAAGTATTTGAGTTACCATAATATTTTGCATTGCTATCATACTTTCTAAACCCAATAAGAACTACCTTATGTCTTCTCATAGAAGAAAATTCAGGAATGAGAAGAACATCTAAAGAAACTATAAAAATTCCCAGACCTGTGGTTTATTCCTAAGTCTTCTGAATTTCACATTAAATTCTGTTTTTCTTTTCTACAGGAGCTGCATTCAATCACATGCTCATGAAAATGATAAATTACTTCTCACACCACTTTATTCACATTGATGTAAATACTTTATACTCTGCTCTATACAATGGTATTTAAACTTTGCCTGTAGTTATTTTCATACTTGTCCCTCATTAATTGTTGTTTCTACCCTTTTATGACCTCACTGCATGTGATTTAAACAGAGGTCTGTAATATATTTTGAGACAGAGAAAGGAAATAGCGAGAAAATTGGTTAGTTGTATTCTCAAGGGATAATATTTTATTATCAAATAAAACCTATGCTTTGGGATGGGTAGACAAATTCTAAAAAAAAAATCAATAAAAGCATTGTTTATGGATGAGACTCACTCTTTGAATCTGTGCACAAATGTAAATTTGAAACTTTTTTACACTTTTCTGCATGAATTACACTAAATAAATGTTACAAAATGACAAAATATCAATTATGAAATATTTATAAGTAAAACATTGTTTAAATAGTTAGAATTATTATTTTGACTTGTAAAATTTGATATGCACGTGTATACTCAACACCTGAAAGATGTCTCACCAGTTGTGTTAGGGTTAATCAAAGATACAAATTGCATATTTATTTTACTGCTTTTCTTGTAGTCTTTCTTAACTCTTTCACTACCACATTTATAAATAAACAACTTTCTTTGTGCCAGTATTATTTTTAAATTCAAATGAAAATAAGACTCATGCTTTAGTGTTTCATTATATATCTGAAGTTTGAAAAGTAATAAATTTTAAGAAGTTTAAAGGGGAATTTTCTTTCTTCATGGTAGTATAACATTTCAAACTTACATGGCAGTGTTGTAGAAGTGGATATATATATATATATGTGCCCATGAAAGTGTAAGAGTTAACAGTGTATGTCATTTCTATTTTTATGTTTTATGATGAGCAACTGCATTTCCACAGCTGACTGGAAATAGAAAATTATAGTATAAAAGTGAAGCATCAAGTACTAAAGTATGCACTTCTGCACTTAATTGTAAATAAAATCCATATAATAAGTCTGTCAAATAGAGGCTAAATTAAATAGATGGTGTATCTTCACTGCTGTTTTGGATCCTGTTTCATATATGTTCATTCCATCAAAGTACATTTTAGCTTGAACTTTGGTTTCCTTAGTTATGTGTATGCTAGGCTCTGTATTAATTTCAGAATGAGAATTGTTATTAAATCAGTACTTTAGTAAATAATATTAACTTATATTGAAGTTAACATAATTGTTTTGTCATTTCTGTATACATATTTTTCTTGAAGTTTGAAGACTTTACACATATTTTTGCTCTTATTACTCAGGAATAAGTCTTTGATGTTTGCTTTTCTCATGGTGGAGAAAAATCTAGATTGGTATCGTCGAATTCTTCTTCAGACCTTGGGAGAATCTAGAGAACTTAATATCAACCCAAAGAACTGCATTGGTACTGTGCTGTCGCTGAATGGGCACCGTAAATATTTCTGTGTATATCATGCCAAACATGCTGAGCCAAGAAAAGGCCACTCTAGTTTCAAGGTTTGTTTTGTTTTAACATATTGTGTAGGTTTTAGACATTTTCACAAACCTTATTTACACAAAATAAAACAAAGTTCACTTCTTCAGAGAGTAGTATTAAATAAAGTACAAAAACCTTAAGAACTTAAATTAATTTTTCTTTCTTTCCCAAGTGAAACCAGAAAACATAAGAATTGAACAATATACATGAGAATCAAATATGTATACAGACTTAATCTAAGTGTACACATACAGATATAGGGTGTCCCAGAAGTCTGGCTCTGTAAGTAAATATAATTTTCCCCATGATTTACTTCATTAGTTGTTCTTGAAGTCTCATTCTTCTACAAAGCCAGACATTAGGGACATCCTGTATTTAAAATTAAAATCAGGTAGGCTTACTTTTGAAATACTATAAACCTACTTTAAAAAAAAAAAAAATTGACAACTTTCATGTTTCAAACATGCACAATATTATATTTTTATAAAGTTACGAGAAAAACTTAAAAGCTAAAAAATCTCTACATGTTTTGGTGGAACATGCTCCACCATCTTCAGGAGACAAGGAAGACACAGTAAATTTATACATATATATACAAACACCCTGTAAATATACATGTATCTTCCATTTCCACTGTTACTACTAGGGAATGTTTTTTTTGTATGGGGGACACTAGGTTTCAGGATCCGTGGATTTGACAGATTCGTCAGTCCAGTCTTTCTCTTTAATTTCATTGTTTCTTTCTTCTCAACCTGTATCTTTTCCACTTCCTTCTTATGCAGTTTGCCAACACATTTTTGATCAGGAAGCTTCTGATCCCTTGCAAAATAGAGCTGACAAAATTGTTCCCCACAAGTCTCCAGATTTTTACTCCCATCTTTTTTGTAGTTCAGAATAAAGTGGAAGATTGTGGTAGATCTGTCTCATTTCAATCTTATCATTTCAAAATGGAAAATTTGAGACAGTTATGAAAGTTTTGGCTGTTGTCTTGCCCGTTTGTACATTTTTGCCATATGTAGGTAGATTATCAGTTCACTGTCTTTCTATTTGACTTGGCTTTGGCTCCATGCAATTTCTATCGAGTAGTCAAGGCCTTATCTGATAATCTCCATTTACTCAACATAAAGTTCCATTTTTTGTATGGACAGTTCACATCAATATATAAGTTGAATTAAAAAGTCTGGGTGAAATAACATTAATAACCTTTTTACAAACACATCAAACAAAGTCAGTTTAAAACACAAAATGTGAAATCGGTTTCAGTAGCCACTGAGGAAGACATTAGACTGTGTTGAAATGTTGGCAGGATTTAACCATTCATTTTAATGTAATTGTTTTAACCTTTTGCATTCAGATTAATTTTGTCTAGTGTGTTGATGGTTAAGGACACTTGGCTTCTTCATGCTCTGTTACCCACTCAGTCTCCAGCAGGCACTAACTTCATCAGTCAGTTTGCTCTGTCTCAAGTAGATTATTCAAAACATCAAATCTCAGTTGGTATCAACTTTGTATTTGGTCCACCTGTAATTTTGGATTAACATGGTTCAAGGGATTCTTCATCCATCTCATATGGCACTTCAAGCTTTGGAGTTTCATGTGTGAAAAGTTATAATTTTCCTATACAGAAATGTATTTCAAATAATTAGATATTTTCATTCAGGACTGCCCTCTATATGCAAAAAACATTTTCATGCATGCCACAAGCCTTCTATCTCCCCTCCATTGGAATTGGATGATTCCAATGCATCTTGCATGCAAATCATCATATGACAACCCTCCACCAATAAGCATGCGACATACTCTCTTGATGCATGTGACTCCCTCTATTCAATTCTACCGAACTATCACTTTGAGTTTTGGCAGAAAATGGAAGCACCGGTTTTCAGTGGGGAGGCAGGATGGGAAGTGTGAGTAGAGAAGTATGTACCTATTGGAAATACATTTTCAGTATAGGAAAATTATAATTTCTGATATGGTGTAGTACTTCTTCTCACATAAAAATCTAGAATTGCACACTGAACAGGTGGAGGGACTGATGAGAAGGAAAAAAGAAGCATCCTTTGAAAGCGACCTAAGGACACTCCCTAACAGGAGACAGTCAGATTAAGATCTGATGTTGGGGACCACACCAATTTTGAACCAGGTATATTCTTTGCCCATTGTGAAAAGATGTCACATATATGGGCAGAAAATTGGAGGAACACATCCAAATGGGAGAGAACTATGGCAGAATAATGATCCAAACCATACATTATATGAAGCTCAATCCCAGAAATATAAAAGTGGGTAAGATTAAAGGATGTGCCTCTAGGTGTGGAGTGGTTAGGGCAGGATGGACTGTACACGGCAAGTCAAATACATCCTACATCCATGCCACCAGGAACCAACATCCATGTGGGGTAGGAAAGAAGATCATACAGGAAGCAAGTCAACTACAATCCAAAACCCAGCCATCTGGTAGAGTAAGAAAGAGGATCATATTGCCTTCACCTTAAGTTCATAAGACCAGAGGGAATCTCATTCACCCCCATCGATAAACGGTCACATGTTATTGTTTCATAACAATGTCAGTCAAAAAGATGTCTATGTAAACCATCTCACTCAAATATATAATGACAGGAACTGCCCCAAGCACAGGAACAGCCTCAGAATAATAATTATTGAGGGATAGCAGAAGGGGAAGAACCATAGTAATCTGCAGTACTTCCACTGTGACCCACTACATGGATGGAGTAACAAGAGTAGAAATGAGTGAGGGAATAGAGACATCTGTAATACATGTGTGAGGACTTATGTTGATTGGTTCTACTCTAAATTCAAATGTGGTGGAGAGTCCAGAGGAAAGACAACATCTGAGACAGTGCACAGGGTGACCATGAAACCCTATTTTTAAAAGCAGACCATACCAATTTATTCAATACAATTCATGGTAGGGATGGGCAGCTATCCCCTTCTGCTTTACCCATGTAATCCATGGGTGAGTATGTTCCAGGACAGGCAAACTTACAAAGTAAACCTATCACAAGGATAAACCTACAAGTAATCTTGTGGAACACCCCATCTCCACAGTGTGCTTTGCGTGGCTATGGAATTATAATGAGTCATCATGGCTTTTACTAGTTTAAGTATACCTGGACTAGCACCACTTCTTACAGAACAGGATCCATAAAGAAAAAGAGAGGGAGATGCCCCTGAAAATAAGAGGTATATATACACAGCATGGTCACAAGTAAATAGACACCTACCTTTCAGAAAAATGAAATTTTTCAGTCATATTCACATGAATTAATATATTATAATTAATTAATATCTAGTAGAT